GTTTTTTTCTTTTTTGTGTATTTTTTGCCCTGTGCACTTTGAAGTTGTAGGGAAGAGCCCAAACTCCCTTGGAAAACTGGAAAAAAGTATTCTGCTTGGAGGTACTTCCAGTCATAAGTTATAGTTTGTGTTTTGTGAGCTCTTTGATGCTCACTATTTATGGGATGTTATTGGAAGTCACTGCAGTACTTGGAAGATGACTACATTAGTATGATCTTCACCAGAAGTTGACTGCTAGCTGACACTGCCATTAGAAGCTAAGCTGGTGAACATGATATCAAAAGGAAGACTGAACTAATTGGAAAATAAATAAGGGCAAGGGAATAAAGATCATCTTTTGATATGAGAACCTTTAGTATAATAAAGGAACAATGAAAGAACAATAAAAGCCCATTAAATTGCAAATGTTCAACTCTTTCTTCTAAGTGTTAGCAGCCCTTTAAAAGTGAGCAGTGTTTTCAATCTAGGGGGATTTGAAATCCTCCAGGACAGAAGCAGTTTGTCAAATATTTGTAACTTAAATAAAAAGAGGAGGAAGAGTGCAAACTCTTCCCATACTGTCCAGAACCATTAAAGCTACGTGCCAGAGGTATGCCGCCAGTGTAATAAAACCCATCTTTTTTATTGCTTTGGGGATGGGGATGGAAGGAACCTGCCAAGAGATGCTAAGAATGAAAAGCTGTGCCTGAAGCCTGATGGGAGTTTAGTTTATTTTGGTACACTCAAAACTGTGTCAACCTTTTCCATTAATATTTCATAGGTTTTTAAAAGGAAAATTATCATGGCTCTAATACATTACTACTTATATTTGAAAGTGTTTTCAAAATACTTCTTTTATTCCTTCCCTACACCCTTCTGCAGCAGGCCACAGAAATACTGTGCTGCATAAAGAGTTAATAAGACTCCAAATTACATGATACATTTGATATAGGAATGATTTTGATATGTTTTTTCAGATGCTAGCCTGAAGGAATTCTGTTCCGGTTTGCAGTCACTGGGATCGTTGACTCATACGGGACCGCAGGCAGTCTGTAAGTCCACATTCATTTATCATTCTGAGTGTACTTGGACTTTTCCAGGAAAGGTGGAGTTTAAAAGACCTGTAATCGCTATGTATTTTCAAAAAGACAGAAGACTGGATGAAGCATGGGATAGGAGAATGGAGTGCAAACTATATTCTCTTCATATTAGTTGCTCAGACTCAGTTGTGGAAACCAGTTTTGAGTATCATTGTCATTCAGAGGGTATATAGTGACCTGCGAGGAGGAAATTACTGTGATCCTAAAGAAAGTTTCCCACAGCATGCAGAATTCTGCATGCCAACACACCTGTTGGTACCTTGGTATCTTGGATATCTAATGAAAATAGCCTAGAGAGGAGCAAGGAAAGGTATGTTTGTTTTTCTGGGCCGTTGAACATCATCTGTGAAGACACAGAAAACAATTTGAGGGGTTAGTTCTGTTGGTATTGAGAAATCAGGTGCGATAGCAGTAGTTCACCAGAAGTTTCCTCAGGAAGAAAAAGCTGCTTATCACTGTTATTATCACTGTTTCAGATTTCTTATTTGTAACATTGCTAATCTGATCCTTTCTGAAGGCTAGACAATCTCAGAAGGTAAGTTTCCTTTGTACCTTTGTTGCTGAGATAGGGAAACCATAATGTCCCTTTCATGGAGCCTGATCTCATCTCCCTCTTCAGGTTACTTTCCTGGTTCTTTTACCCTATGGTTTTCTTGGGTGTTCTGTGACTCCATCCCATCTGCTCTCCCAGTGTCTCCAGTATTCTGCATGGGACATGGGTTAATCTATGGGTTTTGTAAGCAGTGTGGCTTTTTACTAGAAAACAAAAGGAGATGATTTCAGGACAATTAAGAATTGTTTGAAGAAAGGGACTGTCACACTAATTACCTGTAGCTGTTTGGATGCAATGAAAGGAACATAAAGTCATAAGGATTTTTTAGCAGTAAAAGATCTAATATGAGAACAGATTCTACCAGTTACCTTCTTGATTGGCAAAGCTCACAATCAAAGCTGCACAGAGTGAATTTGAAACCTGTGATTCTTTCCAAGGTGAATATGGTGACAAAATGATTAGCCACTCTCAGTGCACATCGATCTTAATTAAAGCCTATCCCCCCATGGTGATGCTGTAGGCAGCTCAGCTTCCCCAGACACAGCATCAATCTTGTTGACAGAGACACTTCTTGAGGACATGTGCTATAATGTTTTTTCTCTCCCATGTGGGGCTTTAAAACAGAAGCATTCCTGTGGGCTCTAGCAGCCCCAAGGATCAGTGGCTCAGCACTGCCCCTTAACCACTAAAGCATTTCCTAAGGCGTGTACATTCCAAGAGCTGACACCAGGCTTTTTCCTTTTGTGCTATTAGACTAGCAATAAACATTCCAATAGGATCAACTTACAATATACCTTAATGAGTAGAAAGCATCTCCAGCACAAGGAATGGCACGTTGTTTCAGAACAGAACTTTGGGAGGATCACACTTGACAGGTTTTCCATATGCCACCTGATTTCACTGATACACTTAATGAGCAGCTGGCAAATTTGGGAGAATGAGACCAATAGAAAATTGTGGCCATAATGCATTCACCTCAAGCAGCTGTGTATTAAATTGTGCTTCAGAACTTAAAGGAAATTCGTATTACTCAACTTGTTGAATTGGTATTGAACTCCTGAATTGGTATTTCACTTCATACAATTACAACTTACAAACACTAGGCAAATTTAAATGGAAATAGTCTCTTTAAAATCCCTTTATAAAATACAAGGGGTGGTATACACAGATAGTAGTCATTTTTCAGTCTGTAACTTCATTAGGTTAAGAGCAAAAATCCAAAACACAGTTCTTTCCATACACTCAAGTTGCTTAGATTGGACCATTCTGTTTTAAGTATTGTAAAGCCAATTCTGAAGGACACCACCCTCATGGGATCTAAATACAAAAGCATTAGATGAAGAAAAGTGACTTTTTGAAGTCTGGGTGGGAGAAAACTGGTAGTGGCAATGATATATTAATGTGTCAATGATGAATAAATACAAAACCTTAAAACTTGAACCAGCAGCAGTCTCATACATCATTCTCTCTCTTTTTTTAAAGGATATAAAAGATTAAAATGTCAGAACTATAATTTCAGAACTGTTTATAATGTCAAGTGATGCATGTTGCATACTTTTAGTATATTCCATTGATCAAACCAGATTCTGGGATAATAATTGCAGATGATGAAGCACATTTCATGTGCAAATGGACATGGATTTGAAGTGAATTTGGAAGAAAAATGTTTTCATACTGAAGTCTTAATAATTGTTTCGCTCAAGCTGCACTGATCCATGCACAAATTATTTTGCATATTGCTGATGCTCCTAATAATAATTAATATTAGTGTGATGCCTGCAGGCCACTGTCAGCCAAGGAGAATTTACGATAGAATGTAGTAATCTGATAAAACTTGTTGCAGACTTGAGAGAGAATCAATTCCAACAGAACCTGAGAGAATTACAATTTTCCTTTTGCAGAGACTTCATGCAGCTCTGTTTCAGCTCACAGAATTAATCTCGTTATTTATAAAGTAAGGTTGAGTTGGGTTTAGCCTGGGTTCAGCAGCAGCAGTCGTTTTTCTCCTTCTCAGTAGCTGGTGCAGTGCTGTGGTTTTGACTTTCAGCCTGGGAACAGTGCTGATAACACCGATGGTTTTAGTTGCTGCTCAGTAATGTTTACTCTGACCAAGGACTTTGTGAGTCTCATGCTCTGCCAGGGAGGAGGGGAAGCGGGGAGGAAGCAGAGACAGGACACCTGACCCAAACTAGCCAAAGAGATATTCCATACCACACCATGTCATGGCCAGGATGTAGAACTGGGGGGGGGTTACCCGGAAGGGTGAGATCACTGCTCAGGTCGGGCTGGGTATCAGTCGGTGGGTGGTGAGCGGTTGTATTCTCTCCCCTTGTTATTTCCCTCATCATTATTATCATTGGTGACGGCAGCAGTGGTTTGTGTTATACCTTAGTTACTGACTGCTCTTATCTCAACCCATGGGAGTTACATTCTTTCGATTCTCCTCCCCATCCCTCCAGGAGCAGGGGGGAGGAAGGGCAGGAGTGAGCAAGTGGCTGTGTGGTTCTGAATTACTGACTGGACTTAAACCATGACACTTCCTAAGAAAATTAGGCATAGAATCATAGAATAGTCAGGGTTGGAAAGGACCTTAAGATCATTGAGTTCCAACCCCCCTGCCATGGGCAGGGACATATGTGATCACGCCATCTTTAAATGCCTGTACCCCTAACAGCTACCACCTTCAGAGATAACTGCAACCCAGTTTGAAAGAAAGTAGAAATCTCAAAGAGACTAAATTGCTAAAAGCTTTTGCCCAGGTATCTGGACAGGGCAAAGATACTTGAAGTAGTACTCTCTGTCAGGGAAGGGGAAGAATAATTCAGCTGTTAGACAGCCTTTTTGGCAGAAGCCAGCAGTCCCATCAGTAGGACAAGTCTTGATACTACTTACCTTTTGTCTGATGCAGCTGTGGCAAAAAGCCCAGTGGAAACTAATTGTTTTGAAAAGGAGAGCATACAAACCAAAGGACACACATATCTAGGAAACCAGAGTGCTTACAAAATGATTTGGTTTTATCAATTCCTTGAACTTCTAATTTTACTCTACAAAAACAACAGAACTTCATTCCAGCACTTTCATAAAGGTTAATTTGAAAGAACAGTGGCTGAACCCTGCCAAAACCATCAAAACATCATGTTAGTTTAATTTAAAGATGTAATAAAATCAAAAGTGGTAGACAGCTTGATAGGGAGGATGCACATCTTGAGAACGTTAAGCTGACTGAGGTGTTACCCAGTGAATGTACTCCAATTTTGAGTACTGATTAGAGCAGTTGTTAGGTTAATGCAAACCAGGCTGCATTCTTAACAGATCTGGATACAACACAGTCCTATCTAGAAGATTATGTCCACACTTTAGATGGTAGGTTTAAAAGCCTGTCCTGAAAAGGAGAAATCCACTAACTCCATGTCTTGTAGAAAGATTGCATTTTGTGATATTTTCATGATTTTATTGGTTAGACTGAACACAGTTCATGGAGACCAAATAAGTTATTTGTACTGCGTCAAATAGCTTTTCTATTATATGTGTGGCTGTCACAGTCATTAGTGAGGGAAAGAATAACGAAAATAAAAGGAGGGATATGAAGTCAAGAGTGAAAGTTATTACTCCTGGAGCAGGCTAATCAGTTTTGCCTGGGCAGGCTTTGATGACATCAAAGGTATCACGTATTATCTTCCTTGGAATGATGACAGAGATGCCGCTTCTGTCACCGGCTCCTTCAGATGCTGTGTCTCCTGCCATTCTGTATGACTTTGAGTACGTTGGAAAGGTCAAAATTTTTGGTAATCAACTCCATTAGGTCCTCGTCGCTTTCCACACCAGTGATAAACTCTTCTAAAGTCAGTTCCCCTAAAAGGAATTCACATACTCTTTAGGAACCAAGAAACCCAGAAGTCCCTCTCAATTCAACACAAGACCATTCATGCCAGATTGAATCCCTCAGGAAGGTTCCCCATTCTCTGCTGATAGGCAAATACAGGAAGAGTATTTGCTACTGTTTTCCCACTTTGCATCAGATCCCAGAACTCAAACTCACTTTGTTAAAACAGGTCAAACACAGCTTTCACTGAAGTCTAAGACAACTATGAGTACTCCTAAATGTGAAAAAAGGCACTAACAAAGCCTTGTATCAAGGCTGGATTGAGGTGTGTGGACCAATTCTCACTGAGCTAACTGGAGTTTATCTTATAGCTAGTTTTAACAAAAATTAAGGGCTTATTTTGCTGGGGATTACTAGGATTATATAGAACCATGATAAAATATAGGCAAAAATACCCCTTGTTAAGTGTTTTGATTACATGAATTCATGCAAGCAACTGAAATGGTCATTTAAAAGGTGATTTTTGAGGCCCATGGCAAAATCAGGCAATACCTTGAAAATTACAAGACAACTAAAGGATTTCTTCTATTGAGGAGCAGGAATATTGTTCAACATTCTTTCTCTTTTCCCCCTTCTTCCCTGTCAGCAAAGGCAAAGGCCCCTCCTAGGAATATGTTTGCTTGTATAGTACACAGGAATGTATGTTATTATCTGGTTAGAAGTTATGATAACTGTGATTATTCCAGTGATTACTATTTATGGGGGGACACTTGGAAAAGCTTTATACTTTACTCAGAGAATGGTATAAAGTTTCTTGTTAAAATCACAACAGTGAATGATTTGTCACTGAAATAGGAAATGGCAAGAGGCCAGGCAAAGAGGAAAATAGTTGGATGAGTTAGAGCCCCAGGGTGCAGGGGAGCAGCAATTCAAGTTGCATGCACTTCTGGTGAACACTTAGTTAAATGACTTTTGTCTATTTTTGGATTTAAGTACTCCCCAGAGTACTTCTGTGGTTTGGTTTCTGCCCATGGCAACCTCGGAAACCTCATCTGAGATGAAAAAGGAAAATGATCAGCATTTGAAAAATGTGAAAACCACTTTCTACATGGGCAGTAAAGGTTGCTTCCTTTTCAGTCATATGGGTATCACTGCACTGGTGGACAGGCTTCTATACACACTGCTAAAGTGGAAATACATCATTTGACAGAAATCCTAGCTGTTAGGCCTCAGTGAGAGGAGTAAGACCCTCTCCAGGGGCTGGCATGTAGTATCCTGAGGATGTTTGTGCCTCCTCTTTCAACACCAGTTCCCCTATAACATCATCCCAGGAGCAGAAATGGAACAAGCCATCTCTGTATGCTTGTCTGAGTCCTCCTGCTTTTGCCCCTCATCCCTCTGATTTCTTCTATCCCCTGCACTCCTTATTTCCCATCTCCTTCCCTCTGTATTGCTTTTGACTGAGGTCTCTGGCTGGCTGGGGTTCCTGGACTCATCAGATGTACACGCTGCATCATTTTTGTGCTTATGCAGGTCAACTGGTCTTGAATTCCCTCCTCTTGATCCCAGGCTATATATATATATTTCAAAGTCCCAATACCAGTGTGCAAGCATACCAAATCCACTGCAGTTACCAGGGAGATGTGGTTACACTGGCATACCAAACTCACTGCAACCGTGACAGGTCTCAGATTTCCTGGAGCTAATGAAAATAAATCACAAAGCCATTGGGAGTTTTGTTTTAAGAATTGCTCCTGACAAGTATGGGATTATTTCTTGTATTTTAATGTGCAGAAGGACATTGCAACTTATTTGTCTATTTGCCCTTTTATTTACAAAGAAGCTACAAGGAGCTTAAACTACAAGAAAGTAGCATAGTTTAAGCTAAAATTGGTGAAATTTGTCCCATTCCCCAGGTGACACTGGTCCTGCTGCTTTGCAGCTATTTAAAAAATGGAAAGCAGTTTGAAATGGGAGTATTAGGAAGATAAATCGAATAATTCATGTTCTGGCACTTCATTGCTAAAACGTAAGGCACATGAGTTGTTTTTTCAGCTGATGGTCTAGCTCAGATCCACTTATTGGCAGTAAGCATATGGTCAAAGCAGGAGTCAAAATATGAATAATCACAGAATTTGGGTTAGACACTAGATTATGGTTACATGTTTGTTATTTGGAGTCCTTTGGTTATTTGCCTTCACCCAAAAGATGGGCCAAGCAGGTGGGGAAAAAAATCCTCAATGAGTTATTCACATGCACCACAACATCTCTGTCTATACCCCGATTATATATCACAAACAGCTGTTTTAAAAAGTAACCTTAATGCACTAAATAAGACCAGAAAAATGAACAAACTCCCCCAAAACACCCTAGATTCCTTACTAGGTGATTTTGCTCTGCAGTGCTTTCCTAATATTCCTGATTTGTCAGTGATTGCAGTAACTGATGTTAAACACAACTGCCGGTGGAAGGAGGATTTTCATGACTAGAAGTATGAGGGAAGACATTCCCATCTGCAAGTGTTCCACTAGAAACAACTCTGAAGCAGGGACTTAAAGGTTTGGTTTCCAAATGCAAGTCCAACTGACTCAGTCTAGTTACCTTGAATAAAACCAGTAGCATATGTTAACAGTCAGCCTTCAAGGGACATTAGTTGCTTCTCTCATCCACTTTAGAGGGATTAAGAACAGAAATACACTAAAATAACCTCCTTGATCACACCTTTATTTTTCTGTGCAGAGTACTGGCACTTTGGATGCACAGTGCAAGACCTCCATGTTTTACCCCTATTGCATTGTAACTCCTCTTTCAGATTAACAGAGACAGTTGATTTATTTACACTTCACTGTAAAGCTGAAGCAATATGGGTAAAGAGCACATTCAGGCTTTCTCTTAATCTAATCCAGTCAAGCCTTCAGTAGCATGTTCAGCTCCCCCCTTGATCCCACACTTCCTTATGGGGGAAAATCCCTGCCAGTGCCAACAAAACCTAAATTCTTACCGTCATTGTTCACGTCTATCTTCTGAAATACAATGTTTGTGAACTCTTCAGCAGACATGTCACTGTGGCCATTAATAGCTTGGATAGCCTGAAGGCAGAAAGGGAGAAAGTTCGTTCAGACTCTTTTCCCCATCAAGTTGTGAAAGCAATACCCTGGCAAGTGCAGGATTTGAGATGTGGCTCTTTAGCTCACCAACCCTCTCAAAAATCGCTAAATAAATAGCTGTTTCAAGTAATGAGGATTGGAAATTTAATTAACATAACACAGCCTAATTTCCATATCTCCGAAGGTCTTCTTGAAACCATGGGGCACCCCTGCTCTGCAATACGCTTTAAATTCCACACCGGCATTTTTATCTGGCCCAGGAGAGTTCTGTGTCTTTGGTGAGGGCCCTGTGGTCTGTGTGAGTTGAGTATTGTTTTTCACAGCTGAAAGCACATACATAGAAAACTTCAGTCATTTTTCTATTAAGACATGTTTATCTTTGTAATTACAAATAAAGGCAGATCAGCAGACCTGGAAGCTGAGAGGATTTACTTGTCCTTCAGATAACTTAAGAAAAGATATAGGTAGAAATACACATGCATACATGTTCTGTAATGGGCATAATACAGAATTTCATTATCTACAGCTGGATTATCCTGAGATTGTGTTATGTAAGATAATTCCCCACATGTGCCAGTTGTTTCTTTTAGTATTCCTGATACTATATCAGAATTCATCATATTTAAATAGTTGAATCTGTTTGGCACCGATGTGGAATTCTTGGCCATCACTGTCTGTATCTTACTTTGCGCAAATGAGTTCCAGAAGCCAGCAGAATTTTACAAAGACAGCTACATAAACTTGTTTGTATTAGCAATTCGTACTGTAGATACTTCAGTGTTTTCTGTGTCTGACCATGATGCAGTCTGCAGAAGAAACTTACAGCTCTGCCACAGTTAAATCTGTTGTAGTGTTAAGAGTAAGGCAGGTTCCTGAAGTAGAATGATAGAATAGTTAGGGTTGGGAAGGACCTTAAGATCATCCAGTTCCAACCCCCCTGCCTTGGGCAGGGACACCTCACACTAAACCATGGCACCCAAAGTATTGTATAAGTACCCAAAGTACTTGAATCACTGACTACCACAGAATCACCTTAAATAGTAAACTACAATAACTGGGCTGTGAAAATGCATTAAGAGAGTGCATAGTTGTCTGGAAGGAATTTTGATGGTTGATAATGATCTGCTGGTCTGAAGTTTGCATAGCTGTGTGGAGAAATAAGGATTTAATAGGACTTGCGTGATTTAAATTAATGTCTCAGGTATCATATATCTTGGTGGAGAAGCCTCAGTCAAATGACTTGGGCACGTTTAAGCTAAGATTCTTGTATCCCAAAAGAGAACAAAACACATAGATGTGTAAACTGGTTTTAAAAATGGGTAAATTGAAACCCAAAACTTTACATTAAAAGTATTTTCATTCTCTTTTCGGATAAAGACCAAGACAAAACTGTCACCTCACTGCCTCTGGGTGAAAAAATATGGAGAACACCTGCAAAAGAAAGATGTCGTTAGTCTTAAACAAGGAGAAATCTGGGAGCTGCATCCTCTCCTACCTTTAGAAAGCCCTTTAGAAGGTGATGCATCCACTTTATTTTTTAACCCTGTGGCTTCATGTGGCTCTGGTTCCTTTTAAACTGGGCAGCAGCTCTTGAAAGTCTTTAACAGTGACTAGCCAGGCACCCCCACAGAATCCAGGGGTTTGTTCCTTGTTATATACATATGTTACTTGTTTACTATGCCATTAAATCCCTATTTAGATTTTCTCCTCCCTGCAGCAAAACCTTGGTCTGTAATGAATCCTGAACATTCAGGGAGCAGTATTAAGTCATTTGCATTTGCAAGGAGCCCTACAATACCTTTTGGATGAAAGCAGCTACCGAAGTGCACAACAGTATTTCATGAAAGCAAGTTGAAAACTACAGAAGTAATTTGAAAGAAAGAAATGCACTGCTTTAGTTTTATGGGTTTGAAATGGACCCATTTTCTGCAAAATCTTCTACAATATTTGTGTCCAAATGTCACGGCATGATTTCATGGGAAAATTAAATTTCCCCAACTGAATTTTAAAATAGGGGATTATGGCATTTGCAGTAAGCAAATCTAAAAGCCTTTCAAACAATTAAAATATTAGGATGACATTTATACTGTTTCTTGCAGCAAATTGTGTTTGAGAAGCCAGTCTTCCACAACAGACTGGCACAAACACTTTTAACCACCCGGTTTATTCATTGTGCTGTTGTTCTACCCTGCGTTACAACACCGTTTATCACAATAATGCCTCTCCTGTTTCTAGCTTTTCACTTTCAGTAAAGAATTATATCTGTAGAACTATGGTACTACTTAGAGATGTTTACTTCAATAAGCAAGAAAATAATGGCAGGAGCATCGCTAGTCAGAACAATTCTGGTTTTACAACTGTAAAACATTAGATAAAGTACAGACAATCCATTTACAACACATGATGAAACGCTGTTTCAGAGGCTATACACTATGTCAAATGCTCTTGCTATTGGTCATAACTCACCGTGAATATGCTTACTAGTTCTTTTTTGTCAATACATCCGTTTCCATCAGCATCATATAGCTTAAAATACCATTTCAATTTTTGGTCAATTTTCCCTCGTATAACCAAATTTATTGCAGCTATGAACTCCAAGAAGTCTATAAATCCATCCTAAGAGAGAAAGAGAGAAAAACCTATTTAACAACATTTGTTTTCTGTCCATTCTGGCAATTTCACACAAACAGGTCATCCAATTCACTATAATACACATTGAATTATAAACCACCTTAACATAAAACCTCTTCTGTGGTGTTTAAAAAGGATATGCTCAAGTGGAAGCACTGTAGGGAGGGGTATCAGCACGTTTGTTCTCTGAAAGCTGGGGCTGTGGGGGTGAGGGGCAAATCTGTTCTGAACAATTGTAACTGACATTTTTTTGAGGAGAAGAGAAAGACTTCCACATGTGAAAAAGGGGAGGCTGGGATATGTGGTTTGGGGCTAATGAGATGTCTGCAGCAGAGTTGCTTATATTCATATGGGTACTGCAGAACTATGGATGACTTCCAGTGCAACAAAGCTGTTCCAGGTGTTACCCATCTGAGAGATCTTGTAGTAAGTGTTGTACATGATAACTGATAACCTGGCATGAACCCCAGGTACTGTGGTTTATCCATATGAACATCAGGTCTCTCTGACTAATGCATTCTGCATGGGATATAAAGCCTGCAAGTCGTAAACTAGTTTCTAAACAGTGAGGCTAGGGGTATATTCATAGGGAAAGAGTATTTCAGATCAATTTAATTCCATATTTTCTGCTTCCTTCTCTGAAGCTACTGATGGAGGCCTGTCCTTGACCATGGTCAGGTTCCTCTGTTTCTGTAACAACGTGGTGAGGATGGAAGACACAGTTGCTGAAGTTGGAGAGTATGTGCTCCAGCTGTTTCTCATGTGCATATAAAAAGAATTAACAGCTGGCAAATTTAATCTTGTGATCTTTACATTGGTCACAATCGAGTTGCTTGGAAAACCTTGGAAAGACTGCCATCAGTTTCAGATGGTCCGTGGGTGAGAAGGCTGGATGACTATCTAGTAGGTTTAGCATGTTACTTATTGTCATATATCAACAAGTGTTTTGCCAGTTGAGGTTTTGCAATCAGCAGGCATTAATCTGTCTTTTAGACTGTACTACAATAAAGGGAAAGAAGTTCTGTAGAGATGCCGTGCAACTCATAGCCACACTTCTAGTGCATGTTTTGGTTTCTGTGTAAGGCTGTTTGGCAGAGTGGCACCCAAGAGATAAACCCAATGTTTCAAACACACTGGATTCAAGGTACATGCAGAAATAGTGTGTGTGTAACTGCTGGGGACAGATTCTCTGTGCAGGTTCTGGATTTACTCTGATTGCAATAACAGCAAACACAGCAAAGGCTAAGACACCACTGAACCACTGTTTGGGATGAAATGAAATTTAGCAGTAACTACATGCAGTTTTCAAACAAGGTTAGGTGCAGTATTAAAAGCAGATGCTTTGCCAAAAAAAAAATGTCAGATCACGTACCACAAACTTAATGCATTTTTTTTTGGCACACCAGCTGGAATTTCAATTTTACAAGTATTATTTCAAGAAGCATCTCATCAAGTATTTCACTGGAGGGCAAGGTTCATTTTGCTGATTACATTTCCATCATCTGATTTGATAGATCCATTAAGAATGTGGTTAGATGCGTTTCACATTGCTGCTTTTTTATTGCATTTCATACTACTTATTGAATCTACAGATTAATTTTAGGCTTGCTGGATGCCCATGACCAGATTAATTTTCTTCTTTCTCCTTTACATTTCACTTTGGATCTTTGAAAATGGCATTTTGTTTGCTTTCTTTTTGCATCTGGGCTTCACTGTTGTTGCTGTGACAGAATATCAAAGTCTGGACACAGTAATAATCAGCTTAAAGTATTTGGGTATGTAATTCTGGTCTGGTGAAAGGGACTGCAAACTAAGATCAAAAGGCTTCCACCTCTGAAACTGTAGTTGCCAGGAAAGCCCCAGCCACTTTGTATAGACGTGCAAGGACCACCAGTGACATGTTAACTTTAGCAGCACCAGGAACAGAAACACTGAGAAGGAAGACAGGTTCATCTACCTGATGTGGAACCAGAAGCATTGCACAGAAGCACTGATGAGAAGTGTTCTGGTTTTGTACAGCAAAAAACATACATTGTAGGAAGAAACAATTACATGATATAGAAGGCTATGGCGATCTTTCTGCATGTACACAGAGCTTTCTCAGATAAATACTGTGCTTTTCGCAGTAGCATCCAACAGCCTCAGAATAGTACATTAAATAATGAAAAATATCATTAACAGTAACATATGAAGATCATCCTGTGGTTCTGGGAGTACAGCAAATAATAGAGTAAGTGTGTGATATTATTAAAGGAACACTGCCATTCTGATTTACCCATCTGCTGCTCTATAACCACTCACAATACAAGTATGTAGGTAGGTCCTTATGTGTCTCCAGCGTGCACATTAAAGTAACCATTGAGCATTAGGAAATCACAAGCAAAAGGCTACTATAAAAATAATAAATTATATCATAATAAAATAAAATGAAAAAAAACCCCACCAAAAACAAACCCCAAACCAAAACCACAGCAACATAATAAACTGAGCATAATTATCAGTGGTGGGAGATAAAAGTAATTACTTTTGGAGCTTTACTGTGTCATTCCAAAGGGCATTTCAAATACTTTTATTAAATGGAGCTAATGCAGGTGAAGCTTATTTGCCAGTTTAGGACTGGACAGATTTGTGTGATGAATGTATTTCTTGTCTATGAAGGCTTGATATTCCATGTCTGTATGCTGCTGGCCCTGCCTTTCTTGGCTGCAGCACATCTGGAGGGATGGTGAAGCCCTGCTCCCTTCCCTGCCTGAACAGGCAGAACCTGCTGGGGTAAGCTCACAAAGTATGCCCTCTGGGTATAGTGTAAAACAGGGGGAGAGAAATGTCCTGATGTGCTTCTGAGGAATAGGTAGGAGATACACCAAAACAAAAATGGGTTAAAATGTCTTTTACAGGCCCCAAAGTCTTCTGGACTTTCTGCTTAACTTAGCAGACTTCATAAAAATACACACTTTTCTTTTTAGTCTCTTCATGGACTGACCAGATGAACTTGAACCTTAAGGACGTGTTATGGTTGTGCATGTGCTTATGCCCTTCGATGCTGTGCTTCTGTAACTTGTTCTGCTTTCACTGATGAGTGACTATTGTAAAGCTGATTGAACAGTCTTATTCACAAAACAAAGAAAAGATGGCCCCAAAACTGGAAGGAGAATTTGCTGATGGTATAAAATTTGTCCTCAGTAGCTGTTGCTGAGGACACCACCAATCCTGACCATCCCTGCCCAGGGCTCGGGCCCCATTTCAGTTGTTCATTAGTTACTGGATCACCTGAGGAGAAAGCAATTGAATTTTCTCATCTTATAAGATGCTTTTGCTTTGGAATGTCAGCCTGTGTGCAGCTGCTGGAGGCTGCTCTCTTTTTCTTTGCTGAAGATGGGGATGTGTGTCCTGCGAGGGCAAAGGTGGGCAGTGAAGGATCCTAGCGTTACACAACAGCAGTTAATACTTCGGCCCCAGAGCCGTAGGAGGGCATTATCCTTTCAGTTCCCGGAATAGCGTTGCTAATCTTCACAGGTCCTTAAAAACTCTCACAGCTTCAAACTATTTGAAGACAGATTAAAACTAATTGACTTGTCAGCTATGAATACACCGCTGATGTGAACAGGCGTGGCAGTTCAGAATGAGCTGAACTTGATGTTTTGGCTGCCTTGCTCTAACCTGAGGGTGATTGCCTATCACGGTTGATGCAGTGCTGATGGGACAGCCAGCCGTTTCCCACCACACAGCACAGCCATGCCTTTGGAAAGGGACAAATTCCTTACAAAACCTTAGGATAAATGAATTCATCATCTCTCTTGGAGCACTGAGGACATTACCAAGGATCTACACGCAATAAGCCGTGCCTTCCTTCCAAAATTTGCACCTGAAAAAAAAGCCCTATACTCAGCCGATACCATCTCAACAGGCTTTATAAGGATTAACAGGTGTGCAAATATAGACGGTCTAGGTATTTCAAACCTAGGGGTTAGGACATTAAGCCACTTTCCCACCCCCTGTCTTTCAGAATACTGCTTAAATCTCCTAAGGCAGAGAGAGGACACACAGGTCAAACAGCAGATTACAACAGCTCAGAATAACAGCGAAACTTGGCAGCTAATCCTATGTGCTTCTCTCTCTCTTTCTAGACTCCATTTCAAATATAGCTCTGCTTTCTCTACCCTCAGAAGCCTGAAGAATTCATTTCGCCCCATTTCATCTCCCCCCATTTCCTTGCATTCTTTTTGCTTCTGAAGACTTCCAGCTGTTCCTCAAAGGTTGTATAAGCATTATTGAAGAAATACAGAACTATTTGTGACTCTGTTACTTTGACACATCCCTAAGATCTGATACTGGAATTTGGGGCTTGCAGAGAGCTCCAGATCCCGTACAGGCTGTGGCTGGAATCACTAGTTTTGTAGCTAAACAAAGTTGGCATATGTCATGGAGTGGAGGGATACTCTTGGCAAGCAGTCTGTTAGGTAAGGATGTAGAATGAAGCAGGGAATTAGGAGCTGCAGGTCGTTAAGTGATTTTGTGGTAGTTGCGTACCCACTGTTACATAAAGAGATGAGGCTGTACTGACCAGTCTGTTACACAAGATTCTGCTTTGCCCAGATGAAGAAGACCTGTGAGATATGGAACCTTTGTGTTAGAGGAGCTGGAAATACAGAGTCAACTGTGTCCTGGCTCTCAGGCTTGTAGGCTACCCTGGTAAAACCTGGTGAAAACCAAAACGTTAAGGTGAGAAACAATTCTATTTCTTTAATATTAGCAACTACTCCCCAACTCCTTGCCATCACTCATGATTTTCTTTCAAGATTACTGGAAAAGGAGGGAGATAAGGAAGTCACCAAGGTATCAGGCTGGGTCCTGTGTTCAGCCTGCAGCATGGCACAGCAGTGCCCAGGAGGGCTCTATTGAAGGACCTACCCCTCCGTTGTCATCTCCAGGATGATGGAGGTCAGCTTTCTGCACTGTAATTTGGAGCCTCTACTTGTGCTTTT